TAATAAATCACATTCTATCTCTTGTCAGAGTACATGTTGTTAGTAAAATCGGCGGTCTTTAAATTAGAAGGACTCTCTCTGTCCAAGTTGGGGTTGATTTTTCAGACATCAGCTTTCCGATCGTGTCGCGGCTTTTTCGAGTTCGCGGCACTTTGGTAACAGGACTCGCGTGCATCTCTTAATGCCAGCACGTGTGCGTCGCGCGCGTCTGAGCCCGCCTTTGAAGTGCGTACTAGGCCTCACGCACGTGTGTCTCTTGGCTTTTCCAGCAAACAACATATAACTGTGTTAACCATATGTCCATAAACCGTAGGTCTAACCATAGCCTCGTTAGTTCTCTCTCTGTAGTCTTCCCTTGATTTTACAACCGATTCGGATTAGTGTATTAATCTGTTCATTCATTTAGCAGATTGATTACGCTCGCCTCTCATTCACGCTTAACAAATCTCACGAATAATATTGCGGCAAATCTAGATAAAGTATATTATTTGATGTAATAATCAAAATAATTTCGAGTATACTATTGTAAAGCTTTAAAGAAAAATAATAAATATCACGAATTTTTAACGTGAATCATGTATTAGCTGCAGTAGTTAGTCTTTTTTTACCGCGTAGAAGATACTTCTTGCTTTTCTCTGCTAGTAGAAATTATAGTCTGCGGTGAGTTCGAGGAGGCGGTTTTGCTTTTGAAATTTTAACCGTGGTATCCCCGTCCAAAGTCGAGTCGTTAGAATCATGAGATTTGTTAACAGACCTAGTAGGGGCGAGAAACGACGAACCTTTCGGGCTCCTTTGTCCATTTTTTTTAGTAAACCTTGCCGACATCACGGTGTGAAATTTCAAAGAGTACCATTCAGTTTTCCGTCACCTCTCCACTTAATACTTTGCTCTCCGTCATTCGCTAGTTTGTCTCACTCGATTGACTTCAGAGATTTATTACTGAATTTTTTAAATACACAGAAATGAAAGCAAAATTGTTTCACTTATCTACCATTTTCATATCCATAATCGTTATTTTTATATTAATTAAATTTCATAGTTCTAAAATTTTTTTTATATTATTAAAATACATGCAACGCGTATTCGCAATTTATTTCTTCCGGTTGTACTACATCTCTCTGCCATTTGTAATCCATTTACAGATCGTGATGAACGAGATCCGCGCGAAACAGTGTTTGCGAGCAAAGTGTCGTTCCGCCGGCTTCATAAAATGCTCCCGCAGCTCCATTCGTTTCAATTGTATCGCGATGGGGTGCACCGCCGTGAAATTAATCGCACAGCGGTGTCTTTGTCTGGTGACGGTGCGCGACCTTTATTATCGCAACACGTTCGAAAGAACAGACGGATCTAATGACCCGAGCCTTGAGAACGGTCTCGCGGACGTGACACTCGCACGCGCCTAATTATTCACTCGCAAGCTGCTGGACAGACGAGTGCATACCTCCTGAAGGAAATCGTTCCCTTTAATTTATTATTGCGCATATACAGCACACAATGAATTACGAAAAAATTATATAATGATAAAACTATACATTGACACCGTCAATTCAATATTATTCATATCTCGAATCGTAATTTGTACAAACATTTATGATGATAAATTATTAAAGTATTAAGAAAATCGACTTGAGAAATGTTTAAAATGGCATTCTTCTCTTGTGCTTAAATTATTCGCAAATTTAAGGTCTTATCGATATCAATTATTAATATTTTTATAAAGAATATGTTTATTAGTATAAAAAATTATTAAATTGTTCAATTATTACTATGATTCTGCTCATGACTGTGTTTCAAGAGCGAAAAAGATTTCGACGCGCAATTTACAAAATAAGATATCTATATGACTTCACACAGAAATATTTAAAAATAATTTAATACCTATTTTTAAAATATTAGAAGTTTAACAATAATTTTACAGATTGTTCTTACATAGAAGTTCTTACAGTTTGGAGACCTGTGATAAAATCCAGAGTCGATTCACTGAAGCAATATCTAAAATTATAAAGATTTTAATTTACAATGATTTGATTTAGTACTTATTTTTTAAATATAAGAAATTTAATAAAAATTTTATAGATTCTATTATAACAATTGAATATTTATGTAAAGTTTAAGTAAAATTCTTTTATTAGTTTAAAAGTTATTTAATATTTTTTTCTTGAGTTTTATGTAAAATCATGATTTGATGAGGAAATAATATTAAGAATTAATATCAATCAAATTTTATATACTATGGACTAAAAAATAATATTATAAATATTCGTGCAAAAGTTTATCTAGATTCATTTATTCATTTAAAAATTATTGATCTAAAACTGCAGGAAAATATGATTTTTCTGCATAAAATCATTATAAGTGAAATTGGTTTTTTTTTTGTTGGACTAATCAATTCACGCGGACTAATCATCGTCAAAATTTTTTGAATGATATTGGCTAATATTATTTTTGATTGATTATTGGACACTAACACTTTTAGCTGTTATTGTATAGATAAAATGTCCTTAAACACTAAGATTTGCTTTGACTGAAAAAAAAAGGATTTCTTTTATTTAATTGGATTAATTTTTTTAGTATCGAAAGTTGATATTAGATGGAAACATTAGTTTGAAAATATAGATATGTAATATTTCAAGGGAAATAAAAGATTATGGTAATAATATGAAACATAATAAAATTATTTTTTTCAAATCTTTTTTAATTTATTTATAAAGTTTACAGCAACAATATGTGTTTTAATAAATGAATTATATCTGTAGAATTATAACTGTATAGTCAATCTGAGTACAGCATAGATTCAGTATATTGCAGCAGATGTACGTACGATCGTTGTCAGCTTCCGTGAAACAAATAATAGAATAAAAGATAAAGCAGTTACGTAAATGCGGAAGAGTTGAAACGAAGTAGAATACCCACCGATCGCTATATTTCGAGCGAGGAAGAATGCTTCCTGCATTAGGAGCGTACGGCCATGGTCGTAAAGGCGCGATGATCTGTGGGTAGAGGGTGAGCAGTGGCTGGTACCGAGGGGGTTGCAAATTGAATAACAAACGTTCACCCTCCTTGGTTAAATCACCGAAAAAGCCATCCCCCGAGCTTGCACGCTTGCCGCGAGACGTTAACCGCACCCCCCGCGAATTGCTGCGGCGCAACCCCGACGCGACCCTCTCCGACTACTTTGCATAACGATCTTATTTCGTAATCTCTGCCATATTGATCCAGTTTATGGCGCCGCGCTTGAAAATTGGTGTCTCCGTCAGGATATGTCGAATCTAAATCTTACGGCATCGCGATATTCGATGAAACACATAATTTCGTCTTTAAATGACAAGTTTAGCGTTTTTGTACTAATGTTTTACGGCGCCTTTATATAGATACTTTATTCTAACAATATATCTTTAAGAATGAAAGATCATTTTTTTCTATAGTTGCTTCATTAATATGTTAACGGCAACATATCTATGTTTAAAAACATGCAATTGTCTCGTGACACGAATTATTGCTTCTACTGTCATTGTTTGAAGAATATTGCGCATGTTGTAATCAATTATGACCGGCCAGAATGCTCGGGAGAATCAATTTTATAGAAGCTTAATGATCGCGTGACGCGGCTACTCCACTGTTTAGGTCCGAGAGAAGCGAGCCGAGTCATTCTCGCTAATAAGATTGAGGAGCTCGAAGCACACGTATCGGACGCATTTCCGTTGCGCTCGCGAGGCGATGCCAGAACGATGCCCGATGCCGCATAATCAGCGAATCTCTGAACGGAGCGAAGGTCGGAATAAAATCTTGGAGCGGGAAAATAAAGTGGCACGACAAAGTGGGGGAGGCCTTATGTTATGACGGGACATTTCACGGTTGGTAGGATCTAGGATTTAACGGCCCGTGCGATAATATCGTCCCAGGAGCTCGTGTTCTGCTCGTGCTCCATCGTGTTCTCTGCTTAGTGTCGTTTCTCTGTCGGCCTGTTGATACATTGGGGGTATTCCCTAGTGTCAGGTTACATGACTCTTCATCGCGAATATTTAGATCTATGTGTCAAAATTAAAAATCATTATTGGCGGACACGCGACGTTGTACTCAAAGCAATTATGAATGAACTTACTTTCAATTCGTGTGTAGGAATCACGTTTTAGCAGGCGAGGAAGATAAATTATTCCAGGTTGATTCGCGCGCACGGGTTACACCTTAATAATCAGCGGCAGCAAGAGCGAAGGTCGAGCTAGGAGTTAGAAACTAGTGTGTGGACTGTCTTTTCATAGATTAACAACAAGGAAGTCGACAATTGGGCGGCGGGAACGAGCTTTGTGAATGGAGTGAAAGTCGAATAGAGTCGTCATTATTCACAAAAGCATTATTTATTTCCTTTTTCTCACTTTAAAATGAATTTATAATTTTTATAATAATACAGTAATAAAGAAGAGTTAATAGTAATAATTAATAATTAATAATAATTAATAATAATTCATTGATAATAGTGCGATACTACATCCAAAGGGTGGGCTGATATGGGTTATCGTTCAAGTCCAAGTTCCAAACGTAATCAACAAATTGTCTGGAAAAAATTTTTAATTCACTTAAGGAAAATCACTTTCTCGTCAGACAATGTTCAAGGCCCTGTGTGGTATGAAATCGTTTGGAACCTGTCCGTGTCCATACTCCACAGTCGTTTCTCTTTAATTCGATCCGTCTCTTGCCTTCCGAAAATGAGCGGAAGAGAAGAGTCGGGTAGGGCGCGAAGTGTTTTGTCGGTGTATGGTACAACGCGACAGTGCTTTTTATATA